AATGGAAACAAGTGCGCGTGTGGTAGTGAGTAGCCTAATGCGATGCTACTCAATGTAGCGACTAATACACGCGCACTTGTTTCCATTCTCTTTGTCGCTTATTCGCAAAACGTATGCCCACACTTACTACGGTGTCACATTTAGAAGCTAAGTGTGGAGTCGCGCTTGGGTACTTATTGATTTTTATTATTAGAAAGATGCCAATTTTTCCTCTCCTTCATCGCTTCAAAATAGTTTGGAGGGAAAGAAAAAATTGACATTTACTCGATGCGATGCGTTTTGGAATTTTCAGTCGTGTATTTGCTCTAAGTATTCGGCAAAGCTGAATTTGGTAAATTGAAATTGCGATGGAACCGAATGGTTCTGATTTGTAAAAACAATAAGTAGTTCCCTTTACAAAAATAATAGTAACGAAACCAATTATTGAAACGGTTGAAGCGAGTAATTGGGCAAATTTCTATTCAATACATTAGATGTTTCGTGAGAGTTTCTTCGCATTAGCATACTTTTTTTTGTATGGAAAGGATAAACTTTTTTTTCATCTGTTTTGACTTTCGCGCGATGTCCATCGATTCATGTCCATAAATCTTTTTAAAGTACACGATAAATCAAATCCTATCTCAGAGCGGCGAAACTTTAACTGAGAACCCTTATCATCTGAAAAATCCTAGGCAAAAAATGAATTTTGAGACTGAATCCCAGCCGGAAAGTAATCATTTTGTATGTTTTATGTGTTTTATTGCTTTCTTCTTTTTTCGCTTTCACTTTTTATATCAAGAAACATTTAAATTAGTCTATTTTTCGGCGTATTTGTTTCTTGTTTTCGTTCTATTCATCGCAGTGCGATAAATACCAAAAGAGAAAGAGAGAAACATTGGAAGAAGGAGAGCTATTCCTCACTTGAGTGAAGGAGATACAAAAAGTTGAAAACTTTCAAACAGTTGAAAGGAAAATGTGTGAGGGATACAAAAGATAGCTTCAGGTGTTTATTTACAAATAACGAGCTTACGAATGTTTCCGTTGGATTTTCTACTTCACTCTTTCAACAAAGTTGAATGTAATCAAAAATCGATCGGTGTATTTAGTCGGCGAATTTGTTTCATCCATGAAGAAGGTTTGAAATTAATTAGTGGTCAAAACTAATGAAAATCATCGAGTGGTTTTAAGTTTCCATAGTAGTAGTACTATTCGAAGATAAAATCGGTTCATAAATCAACAGAAACCATTTACTTGGAATGAATAGGTTTTAATTAAATTTAACATTGATTAAAATTTAAATGGACGCTTAATTCTATGGTTGTTCGGCGAAGGAGATTTATTGATATCAGACAGTGTTTACTCCATTTTATGCTCTTGGCATTATGTTCAAAGTGCCCATTCACCGTCCTTAAAATCTATATAAATGCATGATATGCACAAAATGGAAGAAAACGTCCGAAGAAACAATTAATCATTGAAAGATCGAAAGTAGCGCTCCTTTCGTGAGTAGTATCCATTTAGAAGCCCAAAATTCAATGCTTTACTTGTGGCATGGTGTAACACAAGGACTGGCATCGACGAAGGTTCTGAACAAACAAAAAAGCACTCAAAATCGGATATCTTCTGCAGAATGTATCCGTCGTTTTCGTCTTCGTCGACATCGTCGTCATAGTCATTGATGAGGCATAACAAAATGCTGTGCTATTGTTATTCCGATTTCTTTTGTTTGAAGTTTCGTTTGGAAGCGAAAAGCATCCGGTTACTTGTCGATAATTGACTTGCCGAGTGAAGTGGATTTGCAAATAACTTCAACGCTGCCGTCGCGCATATTTCATCAAGTGCTTACATATTTTGCATTGATGAGAATTTATGCCGCGACCTTCGCACAATAAACGGTGGAAATAATTAGGAAAAGAAATGGAGCAAAGTTCTTGTTGCGCACACAAATTATGCTTGGCAACAGTGCATGGATTTTATTGTAACTTTACACTGTTTTGGCTGTATTTGCTTCGAAATGAAATAGCGTGGTTGTTGCCAAGATAAGTAAAAGTGCATTTAATGAAATTCTGAATTCATAAGCGAAAATAAATTCATGCAATTACGGAATAATTTGGATTCTTCGGCATCGGATCGTGCAAAATATGCAACAGATACGTTGCTCTTCATACTACTATTTAATCGAATAATATGCGATTTCGTCTCTCTTTCCCCTTTTCCCTTTCTGTCTGACGTTTGTCAGTTTGATATTTGCATAAAAACGTGCACATCACGTTCGGGGAGGGAGTCTGTGGAAAAAATATCTCGTTTAAAGTGTATACATCACTGCATTTTAATGTGTACTCTCTTCACTCATGAGAACGCATTTTGATGATAAAATTTCCGTTTAACCTACTATTTGCAGCGACATCAGTGGTTGTATGATACGAGCTGATGTAAACAATTCGTTTTTGTGCTTTCTTTCCTTTTTCAGCAGTGAGGACTACCATCGCATGGATACGTTCACCATTTCCGACAAAATATTGAATTTATTTTCATAGTTGAGTTTTCAAAAACGAACGGCGAACAGTGTGTGGTGAAAGAATGAATGGAGGATCCTTTCAAGTTTCTGTCATAACAAATTTAATTCGACAGAAATCCATTCGCTAAAACATGTTTCATTTTAAGCCGTTCGTTATTTATGTGGCAGAGTTCTAAGAGCATGCAATGGCTTATATTCATGTGGGAACAAAGGAAATCAGCTGCATCGATTTTAATACGAATAGTTTAATCTAACCAGCTGGCAAACATGAGATTCTTCAGACTTCATACTCACGCACTGCATTACACTCTAGTCTGCGTTGTGAAGATGTTGCTAAATTGATTTAAATTGTAGCTAGTATTAGACATGCACTATCCATGCAGGTCTTTGTAAATAATTTCATTTGATTCCGATGAACTCGCTCTCTGTTCTTCTCTTCATCTATCTCTCTCATACAATCGCTGATTCTATCCACATCATTTTTCTATCTCTGCTTCGGCTGCTATACGGGGAACAAACAAGTATGTATTAAATCGAAAGAATCAACCGTAGATGCTGCATAACGTCAGAACTGATGTGATTGCAAAATCTGAAAGAAGCGTTTGCCAAAGGAATGCAACCCGTCTGTCTATGCTCTCTCTCTCTCTCTCTCTCTCTCTTTCTCTCTCTTTCTCTCTCTCTCTCTCTCTCTCTCTCTCTCTCTCTCTCTATTCATCTCAAGAAAACATAAATGAGCATCAACATGATATTTTCAAATGAAACCAAATTAAATCAAAAAGAAAATGAAATGCCGGTATCAAATGCTTCGACTTGTTACAGCATTATGGCTGCATTCAATACAATATTTATATAGATTTGTTGAAATGCTATCGAGGAGAAAACTTCATTTGCTCAACTTAACAGAAATTTCCAAACAATTTTATGAGAAATAAAACCGCGAATGTCATTTGATTTCGACGTTGATTTCCCTTAATTGAGTTAGGGAAAAACACAAATCGCTTCAGAAAATAATAATTGTAAATTCATTGGAGAGAAAGAGGAAAAAAAACAATTCACCAACATATAATTGAATTGAAAATTGAATACAAATCATTTCCAAGGAAATGAAACTCATTGCACGGCTCAGTCCTCATTTATTATTATAATAATAAATAGCGTTCCATCGAAGCTTCAATTCAATCAGATTAATTAAAAGAAATTAATATGGGCCAATTACGAAAATGCAATTTGTACCATGATAAATTCAATAATAAACCGATCAAATATTCTGTTGCATGCAGTCGTCAAGAGCGTTTATACAGAGAGCGATGGGTGAGACTGCGTATGGTTGTTGCTTCGGTTCGATATGCTTTGCCGAGCAATGGCAAAGCCAAACTGATAAGGCTTCGTAAACCACGTATCAAACCCGATTTCTTATCATTCCAGCGAGAGAGGGAGAGTGAGAGTGTGCGAGCAGTATGACCGTAGCCAGACTGGAACGAAAGCTTTTAAGGAGAAATCAACCATTTCCCTTCAACACGCGCAATACCACATTCATCGTGCGAGTGAAACCAATATATGCAAACGGAAATTTCTCCAATTTTCCAAGTCAAATTCAATGGAAATAGCTTGTCGTGGCTGCAACAAGTCTCTGGTCACCACCTCGCAATGCGCGAGAGACGACACTGACTCTAACAGGTCTTGGCAAAGCAATATAAATATATTATATATCTATATACTCACCTCAAAATAATACGAAAAAGCACTTTAAATTTTCTACTGCCTACAATGATATATGTGATATGAAAGAGTAACATCCACGTTTTTGGTATTTTAATTTAATCATTTTATTACTACTTTCCCTCTTGATTTTCCACTTATTTCGACACATTCGCTCCTCATTCTATACACTTATATTATTTTAAATAATTTAAATCATACAAAATTCTCTCTCTTTCTCTCTTATTTTTGCAATATTATGTTTTTATTATTCATGCGTCTTAAAAATGATGGAAAATTGGCTGCTGGTTTTTGTTGTTGTTTTTTTTTTCTCTTGAATATCTTCATTGGTTCCGATATTTATAAATATATAATTATTTTGTTTTTGCTGTTGTAAGAAAGAGTACAAGATCGCTGGAATGGATGGTGTCGATTAATTAGATTTTTTTTTCTTCTTATAAAATTCAATTCAATTTTCTAATTTACATACTTAAAAATTGCAAAGGTACTGGAGTGTTATGGTTTTCTTCATGCGTATGGAGAAAATGCCAAACATCCATATTTAAGTCTTAATCGAGCTTACATAAATTATTAGGCGACCTGCATGTTTTTTGATCCTGAAAATAATATGAACATCAAATGGGAAACTAAACTCTGCTGCATGAAAAGGTAACTTAAACGAACTTTGTTTTTCTTCTACTGTATATGATTCACTGGATCTTTGCATCGCTACGAATGCTATTTTTTCAGATTTTTGTTATAAAAAGGAGAATGCGCCTAAAATGACTCTCTTTTTATTCCTGAAAACATGATTTTGTCTTAAGGAAAAGTTTGTGCCTCGATTTTCATTTACAATTCAACGTGTTCATCGGTTTTGTCGGCGTCATCGATTTTTTGGTCATCAGCCGCTGCTGGAACATCTTGTTCCACATTGACTGTCTTCGGTTCTTCAACAGTTGCTTCAGCACCTACGGTTTCACTCTCAGTGGTTTCGCTGTCATTGGCCGCTTTCTTCGACTTCTTTGGAGTTTCTTTGACTTTTGGTTTCCAGATTTTCAGTTTGTTAATCAAATATTTCACCTCACGGTCCAATAGTGCCATGCGATCGGTGATAGATTTGACGGTCATTTGCACCGCATCGGATCTCTTCAATTTATTTTGTGCTTCCAATTCGCTGGCAACCCATTGTTCGGCATCGTTGATTGCCTTTTCAAGTGTCTCAATTTCGACCTGAGTGAAAATGTCTTTGTCGGAATTCGATTCCTTTGTCATGTTCTTGGCATTTGTTAGGAAAGTCTTGGCATGTGCAATCATCTTGTTGAATGTGTTAACAACATCGGAGCGTTCTCTGTGCTCCCAGTGGCGGGCATAGATTGGGTTCGATATCGCTTGCAGCTCAACCAATTTCTTTTCGTATGTATCAGCATCGGCGTTTTGACCGTCTTCATAAATCCAATCGGAAACATCAGCACATGCTTTACGAAGTTCTTCGATCTCTTTTGATGTAGCGCAGCTGGCATATTCCTCTTCGTTGAGTCGTTGATTTGCTTCAATGACAAAACTTTCCAATGCATTCAAAGCCGATTCACGACGAACAATTTGACGTTCCAATTCGTTAAGCCTATCGACCTTTTTGCGTGCTTCTTCGTACTTGTCACCCTTCAAATGAACGGCATACAAGAAATCAACATGATACGGAATTGGTTCTTTGATACTGACAATTTTCGATATTGGTTTCTTTTCAGTGCTGGCCGTTGAATCGGTTTCATTCGTTGCGGTTGCATTTGCAGCGGCTTCGCCTTCAGTTGGTTTTTTACCATCTTCAGCTGCCTTTTCACCTTCTTCTGGTGTTTTCTCTTCGGTATCTGGTTCTTTTTTCTCTTCATCATTGCTGGTAAACAGTTTAGTGATTGTGTTGCCAAGCTTTGCAAATGCATTTTCTTCCTCTTGTTCGGTTACATTTTTGTCAGCAACGAATTCGATGCCAGACAACGAGAACAAACCAGAATCGTCCAAAACAAAATGAGCCTTGATTCCCTTTGGTTCGATATTCTCGCCAGCATGAGCTGAAATGATGCTGTTCACATCGTTCAATTTGATTTTCAGCAAATTCAATGAACCGATATTTGTGACTTCGTTGCTGGGCAAGTGATCTAATTCAGCGTAGCTAACCTCAAATGCAAAGTCTTCGGTGTTTTTGTTGAATGTGATGACCTTCTTCTGTGGATACGATCCGAATGCCGTGAAGAGACTACGTTTCACCACCTTTGTGTTGCCGCTGTTTCCTTCGCGTTCGAAAGTCACTTGGATTGGGAACAAAACAGCTTCTTTGACGATAAACTTCGATACACGGAAACCGGTTGCGAGATCAGCTGCGTTGTAAACAGCACCCAATGCGGCCGCTTCGTCGGTGTTGATATTCTTACCCAATTCCTTACCGACAAATGTTTTAAGCGCCTCCTGCACCTTCGGCACACCTGTTGAGCAAACAAAAACATCAAGATTAAAATCAATGCAAATGTCATTGATCGGACTTAATCTTATCTGTTCAGTTCAATATGTATTTACTCACGTGAGCTTCCACCGAACAGTGTGACTTGATTGATTACACTCAAATTAAGACCAGAATTCTTTAGCGCTTGATCAAGTGGGCCAACGGCACGTTCGAACAAATCCTTGCACAATTCCTCGAACTTTTCACGAGTCACCTGCAACCGGAAGTCTTGTTCGTCCAATAAACCTTCGATTTGAGCAAAATGGTCCGTATTTGCGGAAAGAACGTTCTTAACGCGACCAGCTTCTTTGAATAGTTTGGCCAATGCACGTGGATTGGTGAATACATCGGTCTTTGTTTTCTTCATTTTGTTGAACTCTTTGCCCAAGTAGTCGCGTAGACGCAATTGCATCTCCAAACCACCCAACGTACGATCATAACCAACGCCAATAACTTGAACAACTGGATTCGTTTCACGTGTTGCTTTGTCTTTCACCAATTGATAGCTAACAACGCTGGCCGTGGTGTGATAGGCTCCCATATCGTAGAATACAAAGTATTGGGCTTTGTCGTTGATTTCTTTGCGCGAGAAAATACCGTAGTTCAAGGCAACTGCGGTATAGTCGTTGAGGAGTTGCAGCACTTTGATATTGGCGAGGTTGGCGGCGGTCAACAGAGCCGTTCGTTCAGCTTGCCCGAAGAAACCAGGAGTCGTAATGACACACTCCGTTATTGGTTGACCTAATTTTTTTTTAATCGAATGAAATCATGACACAATTCGCTCAAACGAAAATTGTAAAATGGAAAATTTGAATTGAAAACCACAAAAAAAAAACACAAACCGGTCGAACTCTCCGCGAAATCGCGTGCCTTCTGCAAAATTTGAGCAATCAATTCTTCAACGCTGTACTTAGTGTCATCATCAATTTTAAACACGACCGTATTTCGTTCCGGATCCGCTTCGATATTGTAATATGGAAAACGTGTTTGATACAATTTAACAATTGGATTGTCAACGGTTTTACCCAACAAATCCAATAAATAATGGAAACTTTTTGTTGGGAAACGAAGTCCAACCGTAGCCGCATCTTCGCCAAAAAGTCGTTGTCCATCTCGGAATGATAGAATGACCGGTGTTTTCCGTTTCGATTCTTTATTCAGGGCAATTTCCATAGGAACACCGGGCGAAACGATACCGACCTATGCGTGTCGCGAAAAAAACGAAAAACACGATAAATCCATCAATAAATTAACATTCACTATTTAATGGGCCATAAAAACTTACTTTCATCCATTCACTGCCCAAATCGATAGACATCACAGCCGCTCCAAATGCATATTGTACACTACCTAATAAAGCTAATGTGCTTACTATGAGCGCAACCACCAATCGTTGCTTCATTTTGTAAATTTTTTTTGTTTCGACTAAATCTGAAATGGCACAGACAAAAAAAAACACCCACAATTAATTCCATAATTCGTAAAAAAAAAGTAAAACACATCAAAAGAAAATCACTTCAATTGAGGTTATAATTTCGGTTCGTCACAATGGAGAAAGTATATTCCGTAGCGTTGCAATGAATATTCACGATTGATTCTCACCTGAGTGATGAAAATAAAATAAATTAAAATGATAAACCGAACTTCTTGAATTAAAAGTAACTCAAGTGACGGTGAGATTGAATTTTGACGTATTAGAAAATGCTATAGTGCCAACGTTTACTTGAAGAAAAAAAAAACTATTTACTTTTTTTTTATCTTTTCCTAATGGAACAAAATGTTTCGTCTGACGTGTACGTTTCAGTAAAACAGAGATGACTATTTATAAGACTGTCATGCCGCAGTCCAATCTATATAACATTTCGCACTATTTATCGCTCTCTTTCTACGCCGATTTTGACAAGTATTTCAATGTTATTGGCCCACGTATGAATTGTACACTTAATGGGTTTTAACAGTAGTGTTGCCCGATCGGCTGATAAAAGCTACAAATCTGCGCAATTTTCAAAAGTGACGACTTCAATTGGGTTTATTCGGCTTTTGAACAAAATTTTACAAGAAATTTTTCGGCTGTTTTATACGAACATTGATTGAACATTTTTTAACTGATACAAAAAAAATTGCTATGAAAACGACATTCATCCATTTTTTGTTCTAAACTCCAATGTCAACTCAGACTCAAAGCCTGTATGTTGTTGTTCGTGAAGTTTTCTTTGATGGAGACGCCACATTTCTCATCGAAACTTTGTCAATCCAATATTTTATCGAAACCACCAAATTTCGATTGCACTCAAAAAGTCACTCGACTCATTTTTATCGGTTGAGTGTAGTCATTTACACTCAATAGAGATAGGCATACAGTGAATATCGTTTAATATATGGCACGTAGAGGGATGATAAGATATCAATCTAAAAAATTGCGTTAACTATAACAAAACCGATGAAGCAAATTGACGTTGTGATGATTTCATGATGTTATCCATGGCTGTGCACTGCTACCCTTTTTGATTTGAAAGTAAATTTCATTATCACCGCCAACAACCAGATTTCATAAATGAAAATAAACATTTATTATTTATGGCGATAATGTTGACGCGCGCGAAACGCCAACCAACTACAAACTATACAAAAAAAAGGAACAAAGCAAAGAAAAAATAAAAAAACTTCTGAAAATGTTGGTGCGAGGCAATAAAACAAACAGAATCGTCTGATATTATTAGTTAATTTTATTTCAATATATTCATCTTTAGTTCTTAATCTCTTATCTACTCATGGAGTTTTACATACAATATCACTATCCACTAAATAAGTGTTAATGGTTTTATTTGTTGGTATTTTGGTTTTTGTTGTTGTTGTTGTTGTTTTTCTCTTCTTTTTTATGTTTGTGTGTGTGCGAATTTTTTTTTTCAATTTTTTTCTCATATATTTTGTCTGTGAGTGTTTTAATTTGTGTTTCTTTTGGCTTTCATTCGCTGCCTGGAATAAATTACTGCGAAAATGTGTGTACGTTTGTAAAATTTTTATATAACGCACAATTGTGCAAAACCAACCAGCAGTATGCATGTTATAGTATTTGTGTTGAATGTGTGTTGTACGATTTCAACTTGAATGTTGGTTCGTATTATATTACAATTGGGATGTAATTCACATTTGGCTTTCATTTCATATTGTTCACTTATTGACCGGAATATTGGCTCATGCACTGTACAGTGTACACACACATACACTCACACTGCCATCGAATTGTGCACACATTTTATGATGCACTCGGCCGTCCGGCAATGAAATGACACACATTTTGAAATTGATACGAATGAAAAATCGTAGTTGACCATTTGAAAGGTTTCCATTTTTCCTTCTTTTTTTTCTTCTTCTTCTTGGTCGCGTATGTTCGATCTGAAATTGGTTAATATGTATTCATATTTACTTATGGTTTGCTTACGTGCGCACCCGTTGCTGGTTTAGCTTTCCACACCGAATTGCTCTAGTATAAGATAATCTACAAATAAGACTTTTTGTATTACAATTTGATTAAAATCGATTTGCATGTTCTCGATGTGCTTACGAATGGGTCAAGTCACCGAAGCGCCACATTCAATTATTCAATCAAATGTGCGCCAATTCGTAAGCACATTAAAACAAATATCATGTCGATCACATCACACCATTGACATCACTACATAAGATATACTTCAAAAAAACAAATGGTTGAGAAAAATATATGTCATTAGAATAAGATTATTTAGACATTTAGTGAGGAGGCGGGCATTGTCATTTTTCTACATAATACATTTTTCTCTATTTTGAATACACATTCGTATAGATCATTGCATGGGGTAAGACAAGGTTTTCCATTTCATTTTCATTAAGTGTTAAATATATAATTTAGATGCCAGATGACATTCAATTTTGCAGCGACAATTGTTTCATTTACGTGTGTTTTTATACAAGAATATTTGTTTCGCACCATTCACATTGCTCTCTTGTTCACGAACAAGTCATCGCGCTTAAATTCTATTTAGAGAGACGATTTTTGTTTCTTGGTTTCTTGATACATATAGCTAGACAATTACATATTATTTCATTGATGCGAATAAGCATGGCAAATGGAGAGAAAGGACAAATCACTTCATCTAAACTAATAGTGATGACTGCACAAGCACTTTAGGTATTAATGCGACAAATAGTTACGATTATATAGCTGTGCCATATTCGTATCTTAATAACCATCCTCATAATTTTGAGAGATTATTGAGATCCGATCATAATACCGATAAATCTTAATAACGCTATCAACTTTTTATCAGGTTATTAACTATATTCAAATAATAACGTTATCGGATGAATCTTAATAAGATCGTTTTGAAGTTATTAAGATCGAATCCTGATAATTTATCAACATTCAATCTTAATAATCATCAAGTTCTGGAAGTGGGTTTTGGTGGATCCTCAGAATCGACCAGAACTGCTCCCAGTTCTGGAAGTGGATCTTCAGGATGGGCCAAGGGCAGTGTCAAACCGGATCTGGTCCATCCTGAAGATTCACTTCCAGAACTGGGAGCAGTTCTGGTCGATTCTGAGGATCCACCA